GTTACCTCTGTGATGACTGATGCACCATTAAAACCTCTTGAAGCCAGATGATCAGTGTCCACGTTTCGGTTTTTGTACTTTTTTTACCATGGCAAAATTAATATAACTCGTGAGGAGATCTAAAACCTTCCTTTCATTGGTCTAGGAAAACAATTCACCACAACGCTACTGAAAAAAAAAAACAGTTGGCGCCTTTATGCAAGTAAACGAGTCCATACCAGTAACCGTTTAGCCATACCGGTCACCAGTTTGTCAAAGGGGCTGTCTGTATGGCTCAAAGAGGTCCTCCGTGTGAGCCATAACGGAAACCTATTCGGACAAACAGGTCACTTCTTTGACAAACGAGTCGCTCGTCTGGGCAAATGGGCGTCTCGTTTGGGCAAAGTTGTCGCACGTTTGCTCAAACCGGTGACCACGTTGCACAGACAGGTGACCGGTGTCTGGCAAACTGTGCCGGTTTCATCAAACAGCTTTCCGGAGCCCGTTTGATATTGAACGTACAGATCGGCGGCATGGGCACGACTGTTTCAGTCGTGGCAGTCAATGTTTCCGGAGGGCCGGGAGCGTCGGTTGATCGATTTCAAATCGTCCGCGTAATGCGAGTAATTTATATTTATATTGTAATTGATCTGATGTTCGCTTATACTGCAACTAAAACTAACACCTTTTTTTTACGCTAAGGCGCGAAGTTGGTTAGCCGATATTTCTGACAAAACTTTAAAACTTTGTCGTTCTTTGTTGCCTCAATTTACTTATTAAGCTCGAATCTCTGTCGCAGAAGACGGGACCGCGTGGAAGATTATACTTCTAGACTCCGTTTCACCTCAATTCATGACGCAGCAAAGGTAGCGCGCGAACACGTGGCTGCAAGAACACCGAGCATTGCGAGACCACGCCCGCCGTTGCAGCAGTCAAACTAGGAGCTCGCGCTGATTACTTTCTTCGCTCGGGCGCAAGCCGAGCTTCTGGCCGCCGCCATTTCCAGCGGTCGAGCGCGCTGAAATGCGCGCGATTCATCTGCTTTCCGTGGCTACAAACACGTCCTACTGTAATGTAATGCCTGTGGTAAGGATACGGCTGTCCTGGGTGTCCCGCGCCTTCATTGCGCCCCCTCCCTCCTCTCTTGTCACCTCTGTCACGTCACCCGAGGGCGAGGAGGGCACCAACAGCGCGCGAGCTACGCGCTGATGAGCATCGAAATCCTCGAGGGCGCGCCTGGCAGCCGCTTTTTTCTTTGTCTGCTTGTTGTCCGTTGCTGTTCGAACTTCGTTCGTCCTACTTGCTTCGATCTGTCGGCTAACCCTGCGGTCTTATTAGGATGTCTCTCGACAACGCATTCGATGTACACCAAAGCTTTTAGTGTTCGAAAAGTCCTACACGTGTATCGGCAAACAAGCGATTACTCAAAGAAGTCAGAAATTCTTGCGGTTTGGTTGGATTCGGCAAATGACATCTTGTACGCCGAATCGTGTTGAAACTTCCAAAGAGTCGTTGCCTCTCGCTTTGCGTTTGTGTGGTTCTCCTGTTTTGACCGTGTCGACAGATATCTCGGATTACATTTTTCAAGTCTGCTATTATTGTCGTAAGTGCACTATAACCTACATGTTGGCAACGATTGGCCGTGCTTCTACGCGTACTCTTCCAGATTATCTATAGAATTATTCAGCGTCTATTCTCTCGGCAGCCGGGAGAATAATCTCCCCGAAAGTCTACCTTTATATTTTGGAATTACCTCGGTTCTTGATTGATTTGCAATCTTCTCAGTTGTATAAAAGGTTAGAGTGCCTCTCACATTTCATAGATCGCTTGCACGCTTGTACTTGCCTGCAGAATAGGTTGTGATAAACTTCTAGGAGAATTGAAAACAATATTTTGTGTTTGTTTTCCTACCCATTTGCAAGCACCTGCGCGAGCACATTTGTTCTACATGTTTCTTCCATGTTGTAAATAGGTTTATGAGTTGCGGGACGTCTTAAATAAGATTAAGTTCATCAACCTTCCAGGCGATACCCATTTAGAGCTAGGGCATAACTTGCCCCTCCGAATGGCACGTTCAAACGCGTGGTCACGTGCCTGGTCCAACGGGCACCCGTATCAAACGGCCACCCGTATCAAACGGGCACCTGTATGAAACTGGCATCAGTATCAAAGGGGTACCCTTATCCCATAATCACGTTTGATCCAAACGGATCGACATATTTGCCACCCGTTTGAAATTCAAATTTTCTCTGTTTTCAGTTGGGAAGGCAGATAGACCTTATCAAAGCAATAATAACATATTTAAGTACTTCTTATTTCCGCGTGCAAAAGAGGAGTGTATCCAGCTACAGGAGTTGGTGGTTAACAGTGCACCCCTCAAGTCGTTAGCGGAAAGCCTCACTTCACCACATTAAATGTGCGCTGTTACCACCATGCGCGCGTGGCGAGCTCGTTGATCCCTTGCACTTGTTGCATACTTTTGAACGGTCATTGTGATGCAACTCTTAACCTGATGAAAAATATTTGTAGAATTGAAATTTTTTTCTGTCGCACGTATGTATCCCCACACCTGTTTGGATCTTGAATGATTCGCAGTATTAGTACATAAATAAATGAAAACAACCTTTCAGCAATAGTTTATGTACCCGCCGCATTATAGCGTTAGACACTTTTGCGTCACAAAAATCCAATCCAATAAAAAAAATATATATACATCGAACCCCCCCCCCCCCCCTTATTGCGAAGCTTAGAACTGAGCTTAAGAAGTGCCATTGCTTATTCTCCGAGAGTTAGCGGCATTTGGGGGCAGAGTTGTGTCAGAGTTCGGGGTCGATTCTCTTGAATGGTGCGCGGAGCTACCTTCATTACTTATTCAATAATAGGTCCATGTGTTTTGTTTTTTTCTTTGTCTACCTTTTCCGGTACCGCTAATTAAAAGTAGAGGACGTGCAATCAAGAACTAAAAAAGGGTCGACCTGTAACTATACAGAGTTTAATTTCGGAACCTATCGCGCTAAATCATGAATGTTCCCCGCGCAAGTCACTTCTCCTAACGCAGCGGTGCGAAGCGGTGAAGCTAGGCGCACACGTGCCACTGCGGGGTGGTGAACGGTGACGCTAGCGGGGATAGTGCCACAGCTTGGAGCATGTGGATGAGATGAAACTCAAGTGCTCTTATCAGGACCATGAGATCGTGATTCTGCCTTATCGCAACAGCCGCCATGCAACCATTTTATTTTTTTTTCTTGCAAATTGAAGCTCCTCAACATCGCCTACATGATCGTCTGGAAGTTCAGACGATGACGTGGCCAGCGCGGTAGACGAGCGATTTTTAGCTACAGGAGTAGAGACACCGTAAAATACATAATTTTACCATTTTACTTTTTCAATATTTCGGCCGACAAATATTAAAAACTTTTTTTTTTTACTTTGTTTAAGCTCATCCTGGGGGAGGTGTGGCGCAGTTTTGAGCGAAAATGGGATTTCGGCGCAATATGTACCAGATTGGGGTACATGGCGCAATTCGGGGCAGTGTGGCGCAAATAGCACTGTACTTCCAACACTGCTAAGTAAATTTGAATGCTCATGTATTGCCCCCTGTGGGTAATGCATGTTTTACGTTCCATTAGCCCGCAAGTGACGCTTTTTTGTCACAATGGAGCGTGACACTGTTTTCCTTGAAAACACATTGTGCCTTAAAACAATACACATGGACTCCAACACTATAAAAACACCATGAAGCAAAAATCTCGATGCATCCAAACTGAAAAGTTCTGCGCGTTCGAAACTAACTGAAGCGCGCGAGCGTCTTCCAACTACGACAGGAGACGAGAAAAAGAGCGGTGACTGTTAGGAAACGAGACATTTTTTATCGGTTTTAGCTACCACATAACCCACAACACTGGCAGAACGCCTCCAGCTCTCATCGCGGCCTCATAAATTATCTACTATCTTTCTTCCGGTTCGACCGCTTTCGCACAGCGCACGCCGAAAACAAACAGATGTGGTTCGTTGCAGGTAGACTTGTACGTCACGCGTTGCTTGTAACGCGCTAATCCTCTCTAGCAATTCTTTTACGGTAACAAAGTAAGACCTATTTACTATTTGAGAGGAGGAACGACAAACGTGCTTTAGAGAAGTTTTGAGCGAGTAACGGGTAATGGTATTTAGTTACTTCCGTAGATAAAGTTGTACCACACAAGATATTTGATTTGTTTTTCGCGCATCAGCTTGCGTCCGTGACTTTGCATAAAAGCAAATGACATTTACATTTAAAGTCTTATTATGCGCGAAATGCACTGTTAGCTTCCCCGCTAAATTCCTAAATCACGGGATAATAATTTTCTGCTAAATTTAGCGGGTAACTGAATTGCCGTATACGTCACGTGACATCAACTTCTCGCTAAATTTAGCGAGGAAAACTGAATTTCTCTTTTGGCCACGTGATTCTTTCTCTGCTGAATTTAGCGGGGCAACTGAGTTTACACTGAGGTCACGTGCCGTCGATTCCCCCATGGTGTATAGGTCACGTGACGTCACCTTTCGTCACGTGATGCCACTTTCCCATCAAATTTGGTGTGGAAACCCAATTGGTGCGTAAATCACGTGCCATCAATTTTTTCGCTATATTTAGCGGAGAAACTGAATTCGTGTATAGGTCTCGTGATATACAGGGCGTTTATTTTTATTGTTTAAAGATTTAAAAAAAAAGAGCCATGAAACCTACACTAATGCGGTTTGCGCGCGTGGGTTATACGCCCAGGAGGACATTAAGTGGGTGACTAATCTTGCGATAAGTCGGATAATTAATTAAAATTCGTTAATTGCTTTTGATCAGTTAGGGAAAATAGACATATGGTTCCAATGAGAACCTTGCTGAGCGTTATCGAAAACCACTCAATCAGTCACTTTCAGAAAGTCTTTCAGCGCGTGAGAAGCGTAGTAGCGCATTAAAGTTACCCCTTGTGGAGTAAGTGAACTCCAATTTTGTTTGCATTCTTCACCGCAGATGCCACCTTCAGGCCATGTCGACAGTGGGCGGCTCATTGGACGCACTGAGCACAATGGCGCTCAACAATACCACAAGCATCCTCCCGGACCATGGCGACGCCCGGACCTGCGCTGTCCGGTCTGGCGCTCTCATGCATCCAGACCCCGATGACACGATGGCCCTGCGGCTCTTGGACATGCTCAACACCTTTTACATGCCCGTGGTCATCTACCTTGGCCTCGTAGGCAACCTCCTGTCCCTGGTGACGTTCCTTTTCACGCACCTAAAGTCCCGCACATCCAGCCTCTATATGGGATCGCTGGCCATATCCGACGCCGGTTTCCTCTTCGTGCTATCCTTCGCTTGGCTCCAGGAGCGAGGAGTCAATGTAAGTGAACAGGTCCTGTGAGGATTCTCTTTCTAGGAACCATTTCAGAAATAGGCTTCTAACTTGTGTCATTTTCACGGTTTGTGCCTACAGCGCGTGATTTGCTCGCTTTCCGAAGCGACGCACATGGGTATGCTGGGCTTTTGGCATATCCGGCCGGGCTGTACTGCATGCATGCTAACGCTTCTAACGCACTTTAGTAAGAACATTAAAACCCGGTTTTTCAACGTATTGCGCTGCAATTTACTAAAGAAGTGCTAGCAGGTGGTGGAAATTTACAGTGAAAAAAAAATCAAGGACAGAACTTACCTCGTTGAAACGAGGAAAAAACAAAACCTGTTCTGGGCAATCTCCGCCGTCACTTCGCAGACAATGGACGCGTAGAGAGTAGTGCTGGGGACAGATGACGTACGCCGTGTCGAGTGAGCCCCGCCGATCCGGATTGATAGCAGACGCTCTGGCAAAAGAACCCGAATCGGCCGCCGCTCCCTCGACGCTGCATACGGGATTTGTAGGCAGCACTTCTCTCTACGCATGAATCGTTTGCGAAGCAGCGACGTAAATTGCCCAGAAGGCAATTTTTGTTTAAACAAGGTTCGTTTCTTTTTTTTTTTGTTGTATTTTTTTTTTTTTTACTGTAAACGTCCATCACCATCTTGCACCTCTCTAGTAAATTGAAGAGCGAAACATCGAAAACCAGAAACCAGATTTTTGCGGGCCGTCTAAAATGCATTAGGAGCGCTCGTTTACATGCAGTAGGTTTGTACATTTGGAATGGTGTATATTCACTGACATTGGATCGACATGGTGTGTCTCTTGGAAGCCCTGCCTCCAGCACGCCTTTGTTGCCTTTTGTCGTGTTTTCCCAGCGCATGCACACTCAAGCTTCAATAAGCGTCGAAGTAGTTATTAAAGGTGGAAAGCTCACTCTGGAAGCGGGACAACTGAAAGTACTTCTTGCCGCTCTCATTCGGACGCCCGGCCTACAGCACGCGTTCGCTGCCTTCCGCCGTGCTTTGGCTACGCGGGCGCCTTCTAAGCTCACGAGACGTCGAACTGTTGTAGAAGGTAGAAAAATCGCGTTGGGCGGTGGAACACGTAAACGTCCCTCCTGCCTTTCTCATTCTGTCGGTATCAATAGAGAATATTCACTGGCAGCAATAGCAGCGTGCTTTGGGATTAAGCACAAACTGCAATCAAGTTCGCTAGTTTCTTTTTTTGCACGAGTGTTAAAATTGTTGATAACGGCAGAAGACAAGTTGCTCCACCCCCACTACGTTCTACTGGCGACGTGTGAATAACTTGTACTTTATATAGTGCTGCTTAGTGGTGCTCCGGACATGAAGCTACATTTCGAAGGAGTGTACTCCTTCGAAACGCACTGTTTACGCTGTGAGGGCTAAATAAAAAATAAGTATGCCCAGCGCCAAGAGTGGCAAGTTACAGTTCACCTTCTCGTGAAATATATATTTTTGGGGTGGGATTCCCATAGTAAAGGATGACGAGGTAGTTTTAAACATACACGAAAGAAAAGAACACACGATAATTATAACACAAAAGGAAATTGTAAGGGTTACAAAATTAAGTGTTCGAACATGTACAGAGTCAGGGTAGGCGTACTTAATTATAAAAATAATTGCAGAAATTAGAGGAACTCGCTAGTTCACTAATACCCTAGTTACACAAGTCCTCCTAATTGTCAATAAGGCAACGAATGTTGACTCAATCACGATCGGCTGAAGTTGCACGGTGGCGCCTATACTGTTATTGAGCTGCTAATGATCACTGAGTTCAACTGAGCTGCCTACCTGAGTTAACTGATTGGAGTTCGCTAAAGATGGTGGAGCCCGCCACATAGTCGCCGATGACCAGCGCCAGCGCAGCACTTGATTGGAGGTATCTGGACAGTATCGTAGCATCAAATATAGCGGAAGAAATATGATTTGGGTCCAGAGCTCCCTCTAGAACGAACACGTGTCACGTCAAGCAAGCCAAACCTCGGCAAGGGCGACCATTGTGATGCCGTCGCCGATAAGAATTTTGCCATGTCTCTTTCCTTTGAATTCGTATGAAACGGCGGCTAGCGCACACCAGCTCGCAGCAGATAGACCGAAAGCTCGCGGTGCAGAACTCAGGGATCCTGGGTTCCATCCCCAACCCTGCCTGTTTCGATCTGGATGAGCATTGTATGGGATTCCTGTATCACTACTGCAGTGTACGTGCGCTACTGCGTGGTGCATGTTAAAGACCTCAGGCTAGCAGTCGTACTGCACTGGTTAAATTGCTCATCTACAGTGGGTAACAATGTCGCCATGTTCTGGCAGACTAAACTCCTGCGGTATAAACAACGACTAATTCGTATCCTTAGAGAGCAGCTCTTAGGCACCTGTTTCCGGGCTGAGCGGTGTCGCCGTCGGCGTAACCGCGCTTTGCATTTCTGGACGTTTTCTATAATAAAATTGCGTGTGACGTCGCGAGGGTAAACTTTTCCCGCTAAATTATGCGTGGAATTTTTTCGCAAAATTTAGCGCGAATTGTTTGCCATTACATTTAGCGGGAAACTATCCCCGCTAAAGGCTGTAGAAAATTTTCGCTCAAAATTTAGCGGGAAAAGTTTACCCTCGTGACGTCACACGTGACGCCGCTCAACCCGGGAAGATTTCACCGCAAAGATTAGCGGGAAAATATCCCGCCGAATTCAGCGAGAAAATTTACCCTCGTGAAGTCACACGTGACGTCACGGGAATGATAATGTCATGTAAATTGAGCAAAACAATTTGCCGCTATATTCTGGGGGAAACTGACGTCACGTAACCTCAACAGCAATTCCGTTTCCCTGCTAAATTTAGTGGGGAAATTATCGAGTTTTAGTAGGCCGCGGCCAAGCCCATTGGCATTCAGGCGCAGTGGCAGTTTGTTCGTAGCGGAGGGCTGGCGGAGGGGGAAAGACGGTCTACTAAAACTCCCTATTTTTGCTAAATTTCCCGCTATATTTAGCGGGAATATTTCCCCGCTAAATTTAGCGGGGAAATATTCGATAAATGTAGCGGGAGATTTAGCTAAAATTTCTCGCTAAATGGCAGGAGAGGGGGAGACAAGAGAATGAAGGGGGAGGAGGAGCGAACCCTCCCCTCCTTACCTTCCCCTCCTCCTCCTCTATAGTATGCTCTAGATCGGCATTACAGAGAATTGTAAACGTTTTGATTCTTTTAGTGTCTTTCTTTATTTTCAAGAAAAAAAATGTCACTTTTATTTTATCATTGTTAGTTTTGTTTCGGTTTCAACTGTGTGCCTTGACGCACATCTCAAGTGGGGTAGTTAGGCCTATGTGCCGTGTAACACCGGGCAACTTAGCTGAGCTCAATCACAGTTGGGAGACACCAACGATCGTTGGTCTAAAGGCTGTTGAGAGCGCTAGTTTAACTAGGGTATGAGACACTTCTCCGTTCGTTGTTTTGGAGCGCGCTGGGCGTCTTGGATGCGCGAGTACTTAACGGCTACGATTGTAGAGCTCTCGTCAGACAACGACGATTTCGAACCGAAAATTCAGCCACTCCCGCACGTCGAGTAATCTTCAACGACAGCCCAGTTGATTGAATCTGTGAGGTGTGCAATCTGCGAAAACCAAAGAGCGCAAACACGACGCATCTTTTGTGCGAATGTAGTGTGTTAACAGTGGATCTTGAGTCTGCGTTGTACGGCCTCAAAGAACTCAAGCCAACCTCCTTAAGAGAGTTGACTCACCGAGGTGGCTCTCCGGAACGCCGAAAAAGATATCCAGACTCTTTGGTTGAATAGATCAGATGCGGGTTTAGGGGTATTCACACAGGGGGCAATGCCTCATTTTGCTCCTGGGGATGCGCGTCACGCGGTAACAACCTCAAGTCTTTGCGCGGATCCTTGTTGACGCAGACATTTCAGGGGGATAGGGAGCTTTTGCTCGGACTGCACAGATAGTCCCCGCCCTGGCGAGGGATCTCTTCGCAGTTGGCGGTATGTTGTTCCTGTGCCTGGTAATTTTACAGATTTGCTGTAAATGATACCGACGGTGGCATCCGGAGTACCTAATTTGTGGCTTGCTCTGTTACGCCTGCCATCCTAGGCACCTCAAGCAGACGTCAATAATCGTCAATGCCGTGCTCGAGCCGCTCCTCACACAACTGGTTTGGGATACGAAGTTCTTTGAGTTGCATCCTCCAATGCAAAAATACTTTTTTAAGATAGCGGTTTGTCGTTTTCTGCATCTAACGGAGCTGCTGCCATAATCGGGTATCGCCTTTTCATTTACTCCTCCATGTTCCTATTCTCGTCAGTGCGCACGAAGCCCTGTTATCGATAGTGCGACCAAATACCGTTGAAACCAGCGTTACTAAAACCACTCAGTTGGGCAACTGCCATAGAGCCTGCTTTAAAAAAAGTGGCTCCGATCTGTACTCCAGAACCGTGCTAATGGCGATCGCAACGCCGCCATTTCTCCCGTAGCGTCCCCTCCGCGTCAAGTCGGGCAAGGGCCGGTGGCGCCATCTCGGAAGGCCATCTCGCAGTAGCTATGTAAAGCAACTTTTATGTTTCAACTCTTCACTAAAGGGTGGCGCTGTTGTCGTAGTTAGCTCGGTCTCGGTGGACGCCAGCAACCCAGGTTTCAATGTGAGTTTCCCAACTGAGTGTTTTAGTAACGTTGGTTGACACTAGTACAAGAAACTCCGGGGTAAAATGGGAGACGGAAGAAGAAAGTGATCCTGGCGGTAAGGAGTGGACAACTCGGCACTTTTCCCGGAAATGAATCAAGGGGGTGCGACTCAATATAAATTTTGACAGTCTATGAAATATTTCAGCTTTTTATGGAGCATAGGAAGCATGAGCGCGTGGTATTGGACCTCTTGGTGTTTTTATGCCAAAATGCAGTGTGTTGTATAGACCATTCAGGATTCGTATAGCGAATTTGAGCAGTCTAAATAATTATTAAACTTTTCTGAGTTTGCTGATTTATTTGTTTTATT